TCGCCTGTTCTCGCTGGAATCCCGATCGTGATAACCTGATCTGACGGGAGTGAGGCTTATACGGCTCATTCCTTCGACCGGTTGGCGGCACGGAACTTCAAGAAATCGGGGCGTATGTTCTTTTTCTTCTTTCTTTTTTTTCTTTCTCGCCCTTCTCGTCCTTTCTCTCTTAGATGATTACGTGTGCTTTGGTTTCTTTTCTAGAAGCATTTTGTCTTGCACATGGGATATATGTGGGCTTCTGCCATCGCAAACCAACCTCGGCGTAGTCGCCCGACGACAAATAGATAGCCAACAGACAACCAACAGACAGCCAACCAACCAACCAGCCTCAGATGTGCACCTATCCTGCCGAAGGCGCCGTCTCCCAGCTACTTGTTTGTTTGCTTGATTACTCGTTCACGCCGCCTCGGGATCATCCTTGTTTCTAGAAGCAGGTACCCCATTTCCAACCGACCCGCTGCCGGCGCCGCCTGTGTCTTGCTCCCAAAACGGCGTCTCCTTGCCCCGCCCCTTTATCAGGCCGATCAGATCAAACGGATCAACCACGGTGGCCAGGAAGTGACGAGGATCTTTGTACCCGGGACCCGTGACCTCCTGCCCGTCCTTGGCCAGATACGTCTTGGTGCTCTTCGGAAGATACTTCCTGGGGTGCCTGAGATTCATCATGCAATGGTTGATAAGCATCAGCGAGGCCTCGAAGACGTAGAAGTATCTCTCGTAGCGGATGATGGGGCTTATGCTCATTGGATCAAAGCCCGGCCCGAAGTGGAGGTTTGCAACGCTCCAGTATTCCACTATGCGGTAGATGGTCCGAGCCGTCAACAGGGCAGTCGACGCATAGAGAGTATACAGCGAGTTTCGGAGCTTGTCGCTTTCGATGCCCGCCCGGACGCATCGCCGGTGGAAGACGGCCGCCAGAAGCAGGAAGAGGGCGATGACCACAATTTGAATCAGCAAGGCTGCTTTCAAGAGCGCGCGCCCGATGTCCTGCTTGGATTGCGGCAGTGACTGGTTGGCACTATAGGCTGCGCCGTTGCCGTTCAGCGCCTCGACAATACTAGAAATAAAGGCGAACGTGGTGATGACCCGGCCCGGGTGAATTGGCGAGTGATAGGGGACATAGTAGAGAATGCGGCCCAGGATGTTGTAATTGGCGAGCTCGAGGATCGGACTGCGATTGCCAACGCATGTGTGAGCGGAATGGCCCACGAGTGGTCTAGGACGACGCCCCCTTTTCATGATGTCTCGACACTTACGGCGCCGCGTAGATCAAGCAGACACTGACGATGTACTTGACTAGGTTTCCATAGTCATACGCCCCCATTTCCCGGACGATGAAGCCGCCGGAGAACAGGACGGCACAGGACACGTAAAACCCTGTCAGTCTCCAGCTCTTGTAGGAACTGAGGTGACAAGGGGCGGTCAGTCTAACAGGTACACAGCTGCTGCGTATAGCGACGGGATCGCGAAGGCTCCACGTACATGCATTGGTAAACGTGATAGATGCCTGAAATCGCAAAGGCAACTGCAAAAAATATCGGTGCCCCTTTGTCGGGGGCGTAGAAGTAAATACTCCCGTCGACTGTGGCGGGTAGGGTAGTTAGCTATTGTTAGCCCCGGATCTGCTCTACCACGGGTCATGACTAGGGGAACAGGCTGCCAGCGTACCGTATTGCCCGTTGTCCATTGTACACAGTATCCCAACTCTGCTGTTGTGTGTTTGGACGAGGCTCTAACCAGCACTTTCAGCTGTGAGCAACTTGTTTGGGAGATGAATACGGGTATCCAGAGGCAGGCCGTGATATATCGCTGCTGAGAGACAGTCATCATCGTTTGCCGCCTGCTTATCAAATGTATATTTATGCATCTCGATGGCTGGCTTCCTCAAGCAAAGCATTTTGTCCCCGTATTTCGTATCAGTGGGAGAGAGAGCCTAGCCTTCCAAGCCACTCGAACGCGATCCAATCGCATTGTCCGATATACCAATACGGTGCACAGACCAGCAGCAACACCAGGGGGGGGGGGGAGGGGGGCGGCTTTCAAGCCATTTCCCATCCGGTTGACCGCCGCCAGAATATCGGCACAGTTCGAGTTCAAACAGCCCCCATCAAAAACAGCTCCTCCCAGCAATTCGGACAAATACGTGCCACATGCCAACAAGTTGCAAAGACAACTCGGGCGTGGACATGGCAAGGCTCCTGGCCCGAGGAGAGGAATGCCGTATTTGGTGATGTTGGAGAGCTGGATATGCCTGTAGGTGACTGCATCTACAGTGCCGTTTTCTCCGTACTTTGTCTTGATCCGAACGCCTGGGCCACATGCGTTAGTGAAATGGTCAGCGGGATTGACAGCGACGGTTCCGACCATTCTGCGAATTCTTCATCGTGGAATTCTCGAACAAGACGTTTTTGACAGCATTGTTGCTTCTTCCACCTATGGAGCCAACTGAGAGGCCGTGGCCCCCGACGCAAAGCCCGCCCCTAAACACGATGTCCTATTGCTCAGTCAGTAGAGCTCTCGGGCTTTCTGCGATCTAATCTACTCACGGTGCCGGAGTTGATGGCAACGCAGTCGTCTTGGTTGTAAACCACTGCCCCTAGGATTTTGATGTTGCTGCTTGCCGAGATATCGAATCCATCTGTGTTTTTGCCTAGACGATCTCCAAGAGTGTTGTTGATGGTGACATTGGCGAGAGTCAGGTTTGTGCAGCCGTTGATGCTGAAGACGTGGACTGGCGCGTTTACTATGCGTATGCCCTCGATAGTTGAGTTACTGAGAGAATGGGCCCGGAAGAACTTTGGCTTTTGCTTCCCATCTTGGTCCCACCACAGCTCTCCGCTTCCATCCAGAGCAGAGCCGGGAGCTCCCTTGATGGAGATGTTGGTTCCCGAGACAGACACCAGGAGACCTGTCCACTCCCGATATCCCCATGTCGTGCTCCCTTCGAATGTAACCTGGACCCCGCTAGTCAGCTCCGATGCCCATGAACAATGGGAACCCGACGGGTAGGTAACGGACGCACCGTAGTTCCATTTTTTTTTCCAGCTTTGTCAGGTCAAGCGTCTGTCCAGCTAGGACTTGCAGCCCCGAACTGACAATGTTCGGGCAGTTTCTAACACTTCCTAGGAGAGAATAGCCCGCTGAGCCGCTTTAAGACACGTCGTGTATCATTCGAAGCAGCCTGCCAAGCAGTAGATACCACGATATGGCAAAGAGATAATGACAAGAACAAGAAACGCCGCATCATAGCATGTGCTGCGTGACACGATCACGTCACTTCTGGGGACTTGAGTGAGGTAGGAAGACAAGGAGGGAAGTTTTGTTTCCCCTTCAGCTGCTACTCAGCGAAGCAGTCCAGTTCTGAACAGCAGCTCTAAAGAGGTATACACCTTTGTTCAGGGCCTAGTAATGGTTGCTCCTATTGGGTTAACTTAAGTCCAGAGAGATCAGGCAATATGTGGCATATATTACGCTAAACATGTAAGCGGCACCTAAGCTCTCGGACCCGGCATCAAGTCGCGGAAACGATATCGGCGTAGTAAAGATGAGATGCGGCAGTGAGGGCGAAAGGGAAGCTAAAAACAGCTGCAGCACTACTTGGTGACATGGTAGGTTGGAATGAGTACTTGGGAGGTCCTTGAAATATCTTCGAAGTTCAACCTCCCCGATGATTGTTCATAGTCTAGACATTGACAAGACAGCGCACAGTCGTAAGGGGCTTTTTTTTTTTAAAAAAAAAAAAAAAAAAAAAAAAAAGAGTTGTTGTGGAATTGTCAGGCCTTTAACACAATAGATTGGGCGTTATAGGTGACCTAGGTGCCAAGTACCCCAGGTAAGATATGTACAAGTACATGTACATAGAGGGCATCCATACCATGATAGCTGAGGTGGTAAAGGTAGTCAGGAGTGAAGATGAGCTTGGCTTCAGGGTTCGGTAGGAAAGAGCGAAATTGTTACCAGTAAATTGTAGACCCTGAAAGGGGTTCCCCCACCAGAAACATCACTAAATTTTCTAGGCGTCCGCCACTCATCAATCCAGCGCCAGTCTGACCATCTCATCCATTAAAAGACCCCCAGAAGCTATCACTTACAAAAAACCATTGGCTCGCTCTGTATTAAAACACGGCAATACGGTGGTCCTCAATCAGGCCCATACATATATCCAACGCAAAATGGGCAAGTCTCAAGAGACGCAAATGACGGAGCAGGAAGTTGCGTCCGAGTTCAAGTCCTACTATCTGCAGCGGGCCACCAAGGAGTTTGCCGAAGACCTGGACAAGGTGCGCGGGGCCGACGATTTCAGAAACGACGCCCTCCAGATCCTGGTGAGCGCGCTGCAGCAAGGCACCGAGCTGTTCTCGCCCGAGGACCAGCGGAGGATCGTCATGGCGTCTTCGTCTTCGACTTCGTCTTCGGCAGCGCGTGCCTAAATCTGCCTGCCTGCCACCACCACCACACACATCCCGACGCCGAGCCAAAATGATCTCGGACCTCTCTGGCTTGGTCTACGCCTTTTGGAAGGATCAAAACATGTCCGATCGTCTGCAACTGAGAGAAACGAAGGAGCCAAACTCTTCGGATTGAGTTTTCAGCTCGGAGATTCCTAGCCGCTGGAGGAATATGGAAGAGTGCCGTCACATCCAGGCAGGAGGGTCTCATTGATAGCCACTAGCTTATACAAGCCGTTGAACCAAATCCAAGTCTACTTTCCCACCCGAGCACGGGGACCAGTGCATGATGATATAAGCGGATTCCTGACTCCAGTGCTCATGTCCAACAGCTCGCTCCAGCAAACATGTTAATATGAGTATTGGGCCTTTTTGTTGCCAAATTATCCGTACTTGCAAGGGATTTCTAGGATCTGGCTCTTCTTTGTTCAGTGGTCGGATCCGCTTCCCCAGGTATAGCCCTAGTTTGGGTTTTGCTAACACCTGGCGGGAAAGCCCATTGCCTTATGGTCCACATTTGCGGCAACCAAAGCACAAGACCATTGGTTAGACACTATGTCCGAGTGGTTAAGGAGACAGACTTGAATATTCATTCGGGTATCTGTTGGGTTCGCCCGCACAAGTTCGATCCTTGTTGGTGTCGATTTTCTTTTTCGTTCTTTTTGCTTCAGGATTACTTCTCCTTGACTGGCAACATTTCTCATGAACCTTTTTTCGTTTACACAGCAATCATGCCTAACACTCTTGGAGGAGATCCTTTCCGGAATTTATTGTTCTTGGCATTCGTCAATCTCGGGATTTGGATTCTTTGACCACCAACAACTATGATTTTGCGAGTCAACAAATTCCAGGGGTTCCAACAAGCTGTTTAGGTAACTCCATTCGGAGTAGCCCTTCGCTCGAGCCGAGACATGGGCTGGTAAACATGGACATTTTCAAGATTAACCACGCTGGACGGAAAGTAATGCGTCCGAGCAGACAAACTCAGGTTCTCAATATGGCCCGATATTTGGTTACAATTCTCAAGACTTAGAGCCTGGTTTGGGGAAAGGGCTCGACTTTACCTTCTCAGCACAGGGGCATAAGATTATTTGTTTTAAATATGTTATCAGTTCCAAAGAAACTGCCCCATGTACAGAGCGTTAGCCAGGCTTGCCCACATCTAGGGAGCGAAAAGAAAAATTTAAAAAAACATCCTAGCATCCTACCGAGATGGCTTGACAAAAATCCATTCAAATGCAACGGCCATGACTGTATACATACAAACAAGGAAAAAGTGCGTAATACGCCAGTTCGTTGTCCCTAAGCCGCCAACAACACCTCACTCCCCTTACGTTCCCTATGTTATCTCATTCTACTTCTTGTGGGCCTTGGCCATCGTGTTCAGTGCGCTACCATTTTTGAACCACTCGATTTGAGCCGAGTTGAAGGTGTGTGACAGCTTAATCTCGAAAGCCTTGCCGTCCTTAGGGTGCACAACCATCGTGAAGGGCTTGCCAACCTCAAGTTCTGTGCAGAGAAGATCAACCTTATCATCGGGCTGGATCCTGTCGTAGTCGGCAGGGTCGGAGAAGGTCAGGGGGAGCATGCCCTGCTTCTTCAGGTTGGTCTCGTGAATCCGGGCAAACGACCGGGTGATAATAGCAAGCCCGCCAAGATGACGGGGTTCCAGGGCGGCATGCTCTCGGGAAGAGCCCTCGCCATAGTTCCAGTCACCGACAACAACCCAGCGGATCCCCTTCTTCTTGTAGTCCCGGGCAACAGCCGGCACAGCGTCAAACTCTCCAGTGGTGAAGTTCTTGATCTTGTTGGCCTCGCCGTTGGCAGAGTTGATGGCGCCAATCAACATGTTGTTGGAGATGTTATCCAAGTGGCCGCGGTACTTGAGCCACGGGCCAGCCATAGAAATGTGGTCAGTGGTGGTCTTGCCCTGAGCCTTGATCAGGATTGGCAGGTCCTTGGCGTCCTTGCCATCCCAGGCATTGAAGGGAGACAGGACCTGGAGACGGTCCGAAGTAGGAGACACTTGGACGCTGACGGTGGTGCGGTCGGCGGGAGGAGCCTGGTAAGTGTCCTGGCCAGGGTCGTATCCTCTCTCAGGCAGTGCTTCGCCAGTGGGGGGGGCGAGCAAGAACTCGTTACCATCCTTGTCTTTAAGCTTGTCCGTCAGAGGATTGAAGTGCAGACTGCCTGCAATGGTCATGGCAACAACGAGATCTGGCGAGGTGACGAAAGAGTGTGTGGCTGGGTTACCGTCGTTGCGGCCGGTAAAGTTGCGGTTGTACGACGAAATAATCGAGTTAGCCTCGCCCTTCTTGACGTCCCTGCGGTCCCATTGACCGATGCAAGGGCCGCAAGCGTTGGCAAGAACCATGCCGCCAAATTCCTCGAATGTTTCGAGCTGACCATCCCGCGCAATGGTAGCACGAACCTGCTCAGAACCCGGGGTAACGGTGAAGAGCGACTTCGCCTTGATGCCGTGGTTGAGGGCATCGCGAGCGATTGAAGCACCACGAGACATGTCCTCGTATGACGAGTTGGTGCAGGACCCAATCAAACCAACCTTGAGCTCCGCAGGCCAGTTGTTGGTCTTGACGGCCTCAGAGAACTTGGAGATCGGGGTCGCAAGATCGGGTGTGAAGGGCCCGTTGATGTGAGGCTCAAGCTCGGAGAGGTTGATCTCAACCAACTGGTCGTACTCGGCACCCTCATCCTCGTGCAGCTCCTTCGCATAAGAACGAGCGAAATCGCCGATCTCTGAGCGCTTGGTGGCCTTGAGGTAATTGTACTGGCCCTCGTTGAAGGGAAACAGCGAGGTTGTGGCACCAATCTCGGCACTAGAAAGCATCGTCAGAAACTTCCCTCGAGTAGGAAAGGGGGGGGGAGGGGGTTATTTACCCCATGTTGCAGATCGTAGCCTGTCCGGTCGCGCTCAGAGTCTGCACACCTGGGCCTTCAAGGGTTGTTAGTGTGTTTGGTTCGTATGATAGGCAAGGTGGTACGACAAGAGATGGCTGTGGCCAACCCGGTTTGCGCAGCAAAGCCGTCTAGATTGTGCTCTACCCCAGCAGGGGCAGGGCGCGGCTGCCATAACAGCAATCTCAAGCTCGACAAGTGGCGTGGCAAACAATCATGTCCAGGCCTGCGGTTGGGACCAAGCCATGGTGGCTGGTGAGAGAGGGAAAAAATGTAACTCACCATGGTACTCCACAATTGCGCCAGTGCCTCCCTTCACAGTCAGAATACCAGCAACCTTAAGGATGATGTCCTTAGGAGCCGTCCACCCAGACATCTGTCCAGTAAGCTTCACACCAATCACCTTGGGGGCCTTGAGCTCCCAGGGGAGGTTGGCCATGACATCGACGGCATCGGCACCACCAACACCAATGGCGCACATGCCGAGACCACCGGCATTGGGAGTGTGCGAATCAGTGCCAATGAGAAGACCGCCGGGGAAAGCGTAGTTCTCGAGTAGAATTTGATGAATGATACCGGAACCGGGCTTCCAGAATCCGATGTTGTACTTTGCGCAAGCAGTCGCAAGGAAGTCGTAGACCTCCTTGTTAATGTTAACAGCGCGCTCCAGATCCTTAGCACCACCAACCTGGGCCTCGATCAAATGGTCGCAGTGCACAGTGCTTGGGTTCGCGACGGAGGGCATGCCGGCGGACATGAACTGGAGGATGGCCATCTGGGCCGTGGCGTCCTGGCAAGCAACGCGATCCGGTCGCAACCTGAGATAAGAGACACCCCGCTCGATCTCTTGGCCCTCTGGGTCATCCAAGTGAGAGTAGAGGATCTTCTCAGCAAAGGTAAGGGGGCGGTTGAGCCTCGAGCGAACAATGGCAAGGTTCTCCGACATCTTCTTGTAGTTGATGAAGTTGCCCTCCTCCCAGTTGTTTTGCCGCACCTGAACATGTCAGCCAACGTTGCGCGGTTAGCCACAGCGCAAGCAGAGCCATGGGATGGGCAGTAGCCCCTCATCGCGGGCTCCAGCAAACTTACCTTCTTGTCCAAAGGAGAATCGGAGACGGTAGCCATGCGCCGCAGACCAACGCCGGCACTGCCGAGCACACGGCTCCGGGCGACGCACAGGAGCTGTCGAGAAGCCAACATGGCGGCGACGATCGGTAGCCTCAGCGAGCGCAGCACGCAGCAGGCAAATCAATCGGAGTGGAGAGGTGCAGAGCCAAAACAACCGATGGGCTCTGGCAGTGAGTAATAACAAGGAGACGTCTTTCCCCAGGTACGACGGATTGCAGGCTGGACGGCTTTGGGGAAGAAGAACAAAAAAGGCGGAGAGAAGGTTTTTGTCGAGATAGCAAAGGAGAGGGATTTTAGATAGCAGTGGCAACGCACTGGACCAGAGCTCCTACCACCGTCATAGCCGAGAAGTACCCTACCCAGGTGGGTGCTTAGAAGGGCCAATCAGATTGCGGGCGATTATGTCTGCATGCAGGTGTGGGGCACTGTGGGGGAGCATTTGGCGTGAACATGACATGGCCGTCCGCTTGAATCAAGGCTAGCCTCCGTTGTTTCACACGACTTGACCGTTGATTCCTACCGCATCGAGCACGACAGCAGCGTGGCAAGGCGCGACTGAGGGAACTTGGAATTTGAACTGAACGCTTGAAGCCAGGCAACCCTCACGAGAGCCAAGCCAGGTAAGTAATGTTGTATTTTATCTCATTATAGATAATGTAGCGTGTCTTCAAGCTCTAGGAAAGAGAAGCAATGTCCCACTAAAAGCATGGAGATGTCACGGAACGCCGGGTGAAGGGGTTGACGGATAACCGAGGCAGGAGCAATGGGTGCACCTTGTCGAGACTGAATCGCGAGAGGCAGATTCCATGCCAATTGCAACGTACTAGGTAAGTACATGACATCCTAAAAGTGTCGAGAATGGCTATTTGTTCTTTCCTTCGGGATACTGTTGCCAGGAGCACGAAGAGAGCATATCCCAAAAGATCCTTGGCGGCATGTGAGCATGTGCCATGCCACTCCTTTCGAGCCGCCAACAAGCCTAGTGAAGCACAACTACTATGTATCATTGGCCGGAAACGACGCAAATTGCGTTATCGAGAAGAGACTCGGTTTTTGACCTGCGTCCGGGAATCAAGAAAGAAATTTGGGCCGCGAATGCCTCAATTTGATTTATTTAACAACAACCTTCGATTTATTCATGGTGGGGGAGGCAGGAAACGCGAGGCTAGCTCGAAAGCAGAAGTGACGCAAATCATAAATGGTCAAGACGACAGCCGCGGACTGACTAACAGGGCGTTCTCATTGGCTACTGGACATCGGCAGGCAGGTGTCAGCGAAGGTCGATCTGTCGGCGAGGGGCTGCAGACCGTTCCCAAATTCAAGATTGAACGTGATACTTTCTGGGTCTCCCGGCATCGAAACTAAGAGCTACCCGCCTATGTGCATTAAATTGTTAAACTCGTCGGCTAACCGTCGTAGAAACGGCTTGGCGCCGGGGAGACGAAAATTTCTGCTGGGCCTGGAGACCTCGTCTCGGCGGGGCCGTCCGGGGCCCGGCGGGGTCGTTGGCGCCTGAGCTCGGCTCAAGCAAGGAGATTCGAAGGCGATAGGCCGGCACGTGGCTATTACCTCCGCAGGGCGGCCAGAAACTCAATCGGC